ACTTGCGGTCATTATTGTCGGCTGCGAAGTCGGCGTCCGTGTAAGAGCATAGCTGTAGTGGTAGTTCCTTTGCCTTGTCGTCGCCAGACATGGCCAACTTGTGCGATCGGGTGTCACCCAGGTACCGGGCGATGCGCTGAGTCAACTTTTAGTCCGCCGGCGTTTGCGCATGGGTCCGTCGTGTAGCGTAGTGTACAGCAAACATGATGTCTGGACGCGTACACCTCGCGATCCACAACAAACTCCAAACTAGTAATTGAAAACTAGTCACCGTCGGTTCTGCCAACGCCATCTCCTTCGTGGAGTGCGAAAGTAGCTCGGCTAAATCAGCCTCTACTATTCATTCTCCTCCGATCGGCGATCGCACAGAGCTCGCCTATTCCAGCCTGAACTGGGTGAGCATTTCAGCGGTAGTAGCTGTTGGTTGAACTTATAGTCACTAAGATCGTTGTACTGCAATCGCATTCCCAGACAGTTGCTTGCAACGCAGAGGTCTTTGAGCTCCAGGATAGCCATGTCGGTGAACTGAGAAACCCTGCTGTCGTATGTACCAGTGACAAGTAGGTCGCCTACATATGTCCCGACGACTGTCATCCCGCCGCTGTCAGTCTTGAAGTACAAACATGCATCCACAATACACCGAATGAACTCAAGCTTGATCAGTATATAGTGCAGGTGCTGATGCCAGAGGCGCTCTGCCTGCTTCAGGCCGTAAAGGCTCTGACCGATGCAGTCCAACTTCATACACGCTCTCGGCTCCGAGTACCATGGGCTCCTCCTCCGTGATGACAAGTCCAGCGGGGACGAACAGTACATTCTCGACGCCTTCCTCCGTTTTCACCTTTACGTACGCGTTTGATACGTCTCCGTGTCGGGCAGGAACCTCCCATATGAACGTTACGACGAAATGAACTTGGCACCAGTCATCGTAATCACAGCGGCGAAATCGAAGAAGAAGTAAACGTCGAACTTTTGTTTGTTACCACAGACGACTAGTCGAGCATTGTACCGCTCGATCAAACCTGTGCCCGTTCGCTTCTTCTTGTACACCCACTTGGTATGCAAGCGCACGGTGCCAGGCTCGCACTTGACCAACTTCCACGTGCTGTTCGCCTGTAGAGCTGCGAGCTCTTCCTGCTCAGCTTCCGCCCAAAGCGCACTTTCAGCACATTTCAGCGCCTGCATGTAGATCTTTGGTTCCGGGTCATCTGCGTGTGGACAAGCCCTCTCTACTTCGGATACGGTCAAAGACACGGGGTCACTGTTGAGTCTCGACTCGCTGACTTCCACGTGTTCATCTGCCTCAGCGCGACGGCGCGACTTACAGTGGGAGCGATGAGATCTGCGAGGTATGGTACGCGCTGCCGGTGGCGTCGTCGTTGTAGACGCTGGAGCAGTCGGTGCCTTCATATTGGGTTTCTCCTCCAACGTGCGGATATTCTGCACATGGCGCGTGACGATCATCTTCTTTTCCGAAGATAGGTACACCTTGAATCCCTTGGTCGATTCACTGCCGACAAGTACACCCTCACATGCCCTCTTCTTCATGGCGCGCTCACCAGGGTCACGAAACACAGATCACCTGAATCCGAACACAGCGATGGCACGAAGATTCGGCCTTGGCCAGTCAATACCGCGAGTGGCGACATCCGATCCATTTTGGCACGTGACGAGCTTCGGTTCAGGACGGACATGGCGTACTCAACCGCGTCCATGCATCGTGTCATGTTGAGAATCATGCGGTGCATCCGCTCCGCTTTGCCGTGCTTTCCGACCTCAGACACCTGACAAGCCACTTCGTTCTCTTTGCAAAAGAGGTCCACGTTTCGGTACTCCCCTTCACCGTCAATGCAAAGTACATGTACACGACAGTCGACCCTTTCTCGAATTATACGAGGAAGTCCTCGAACTTCTTCGCAGCCAGGTTTTTCTTTTTTGCCATGAGCACCTTGCAGTAGTTCGATTTGTGGTCGATAAAGCTGACCATGTAGCGATTGCCTGGCCGTCAAGCGGTGTCATCGGACCCTTCAGGTCGCTGCAGATGACTCCTCCGATTTTGTCAAATGGTGCGTGTTCCCTGGTGTCTTTGGTCGGCTGTTGCGCTCTAGTCTTCTTCTCTTCAGTACAAACCATGCATGGCTTCCGCTCATGATGCGAGATCTTGATACCGGATGCGGGGTCCTTCACCATGCGCTCGATGGTGTCTAACGCCAGGTGACCGAATCGTGCATGGAATCCCGTTAGCGTATCCGTAATGACGACCGGTGAGGCTGTGTCCGTACTCGCGTCAACCACATTCATGATCAGCTCCTCCATCTTTGCAGTGCTTGCGGCTACCGACTCGAGTCAAACCACAAGCACGTTGTGCATCAGATCAACATACTTCTTTGTCCCACCAACTTATAGGGATTTTGGTTGTGTGTGTAGCACACGAAAAATGTTACAATGATCCCATTTGGTTGATATCGCGCTTCTTCCAATGATTTGATGACATTTTCCTCTGATTTTATACATATCGACTTAACAAGCAGTAAAACCTCCTGTAATTTAGCGCCTATTAGCGAGTGTTACACACGTCGATCGTGATTATGCTGATGTATATAAGATCGCCGTATCGGAATGAGCATTTACTTCAAGTTTTATAAAATGTCGCTAATAAACCTACAAATTCCGAAAAATAACAGGATTCCCTCCAGATACGAGCCCACATTCATGGCATTATTTACTTGCTGGTCGCTGCTATATAGCCACATAAATTGTAGCGAATAGCACGCTGACTCAAGCTTTCGAATAAGGGTACTTAGACTTTTATCAAGCTCACATTGGTAGTGCTACTTAAAAAAAACCAAGATCCCGATAAATTGGTGGGACAGATAAGTAGAACACCACGTCGTCACTCTTCACCAGCGCCAACTTTCCGTTGCGCTTGGCCAGAGAACATCCCTTCGTCATCAATCGTCCGTATGAGATAAGGTTCTGCGACAGCTTTGGTGCGCAATAGACGTCGTTGAGCTCTACCTCAGCTATGAATCCATCGACAATCGCTCGCAGAGTCACCGATCCTTTCTTGGCCACGTCCATCGTCCGACCGTCCGGCAACATGCAGATGTCATCACCAGATCACCCCACCACGTTAGCCATCAGCGCAGGGGCGTTGGCGAGATGTCGGCTGGCACCACTGTCCAGTTACAAGCTCTTAGCGTCCACGGACTTGAAGTCGTTACCAGCGGCAAGTGCAACCTTTTCTGGCTTGCCCTTGCTGTTTCCAGTAGAGCGCTCGGGGTATTTCTTCAGGTGTCCAATCTGCTTGCGCATGTGGTATCGCCGCGTCTCTTTTTGGGACTCAGCCACCGCGTTCACGGCCTCCTTGCCAACACGTTTTGGCGCTCGATCTTCGTCGGACACCATTAACGCCCAAACCATCAGCTCGTTTGCTTGTTGAAAATAATCGTGATGTCACACCTGGCCATCAAGGCGTGCCATAAGGCCAGGCCGCGTACTTGACGATGTTCTCCAGAACCAGCGTAGGTGACGTGTTCGCTACCATCACGAGAAGATTTAAGTACAAGAAGTGTTTATTCCGCGGTCGCGACGGGTCCTTCTTGGCTCCGAACAGCCTCATTTCCTGCTGCGTCGAGAGCGTCCGCTTGAATGACAAGTGCATCTGATCCATCACGAACCAAAGCGTCGGCTGCGTGGACCACCAGCATATGATGTGTAGCTGGTAGAACGCCTCAGCTTTCCACGCACGTGTTGACCAAACTTGTTCACCTTGTACCGCTCCGTCCAGGCGTACCCACAAGCCTGCTCCTCCATCTCAATCTTCTCTATGAACAGTAACCCCCACGGCTCAATGCCGCTCTCAAGCCCCTTATAGACTTTGCTCCCGTCGAAGTTACGCATGTAGATCTTGGCGTCCTTGGCCGGGGCACTGTTGCATTGAGATGCAGAGGTGGCGGTCGGTGCGCATGATACTGAGGGCCTGCCTGGTGCTCCGGGTACTGCGGCGGTGGCACCGCTCCTCCAGCTTGGAAAGGCGAACCTCCCACTTGTTGTCCAGCAGCGAGGCCACCGTGCGCACCACGTATCTGCACATCCATGCCAAAGATCGAAGCGCCAAGCTCATGCATCCGCCCCCGTGCTGCAGCGCTTGACGGTAGACACTCTGAGCAGAGCCGGCCCCCATGTCCGGGCGGCGTAACGGCCGCTTGTTGCTGCTGCGTCTGCGTCGTTGGTCATTGGGCTCATAACCTGTGGGTAGGGCACTTATGCGCGAGAAGTAAGAAGTAAAAAAGAAAAATATATTCGAAGAGTTCTTAGCTGGATATACTTCCACACTATACATTAGCCGGCTAACTAACCGTGGTCCACGCGCCTACACTCGATTTGATTGGTTCAAATCGTGAAACCAAGGCAAAAAGTGTACCTTCAACATTGTCGACCCGACATTTCCGTAACGGTTAGCGGGGGTCTGGCTTCGTGTCGCCTGCCCGTAGACTGGATTTTCCATCACTATACAACACATGTTAGCTCTCGGCGTCAAATCGACGCCCAAATGTAGTCTGCTTGCCTTTTTGGAAGTTGCTTGGTGGAGGAGGCTTGAGCTTGGTGAAAAGTGTTTTAATTAGAGAGCGATGAAAAATTTAAACTACTTGACTAACACACACTGCTATCAGGACTCTTTTTTCGCGCTATGCAGCTTCGAGTCGAAGCCAGGCTGTCGAAGTCGTACCTTCAAGATGGCGCGGTACAGCGCTACTGAAGCATGCCACTGTTATTACCACCGGAGGAAGAGGGTGAGCGCGCTGAGTAGAGTTCAATCAATTTCGAGCATAAAATTGAGCTTTAACTCATTTTCGAAACCATCACTCAAATCAAGACCAAAATCTTGATTTGACCCTTTTTCTGACAATTGCTGTTTCAAAATCTTCAGAAACTATTTCTCTAATAATTTTATAAACTTATAATTGTGTCATGAGAGGTCGCAGTGCACTTCACCCATGGGCGGAGAAGATAATGATGTGATGCCTGTGTTCCAGTCGCGATTGCGCGCCAAGAAAGAGGAACGTATGCATCAGAGACAACAAGAGCAGGTTTTGCCTTGTTCTACAGGGTTACACCGCAACTTGGACATGGTACGTCATTGAACCCATGGGTAATGGACCCTTCTTGGTGTTCGTAGCGAGATGGTCCTGAGAGTTTCTCGCTGGTCAAGGATGCTGGCACTCGCGCCCTAGCTAATGCGCATCAACAGGCTGTTGCGGACTCTGGTGAAGATACCGTCAAGCGGCGAGAGCGATCTGAAGCACGCAAACGCGTTATTGAATATCACGGAAGTATCTGGGATGCAGTGAGCAGCGACAATCTGGATATGGTGCGGAATTACTTTCTAGTTGAAGGTGCAACGATGGTATTGCGTCGGCGACATCCAGACGCAGATCAGGGTGGGCGAACCCTGCTGCACTGTGCATCGTGGTGTGTACATTTTCAAAAGATGAGCTGAGCGTATTACATGAAGAGCAAGCCAACCTAACTTGAGTTGGTGTTGGCGTATGGTGTACAGGCATGGATACGGAGCTATAGTTGAATTCATTTTGACCACTGGATGCGATGTAGATGTTGTCGACAGTGTATGTACATCTCCCCGCTTTCAGGGTTTTCGGTATCAGTTGTGGCTTAATGACATTCATGACAGGTGGCTAGTAAGACTACAGCTCTAATTGAAGCGGCTCGTGCAGGCACGCAGGTGTTTGCGTTACCTTGCTACGTTATGGAGCTAGCCCAAGACACCGCGACAGCTATGTAAGCAAATCGCGCAATGGCGCATAAGGCAAAGAACGTAACCAAATGTGTTTGCGAGTTATGCAGGGAGATACGGCATTTCACTGGGCAGGGCGTCAAGGTCACGGTACGGTGCTCTTACGGATGGCTCTGGAGCAAGAACGTTTGGAACCTGGGTCTACCCCCGCACTCTGGGTCATGAAGGTGCGTCATGTTGGCTACTCGCACTATGTGACTTTATCAAACCTAGCAGAGTCCTGCTCGCTGATAGAACCACAAGAGTCGTACTGTCGTGGACCTCGTGCAACCCCATACATTCGTCGTTCCGCTGCTCCAGAAACGCCTTGGGGACTCTTTCACACGAGCGTTGGAGTCTGCCAAAGGGAAGCGCAGGTCTCGTTTCCCTGTTAGAGTACGTTGCTACTGCTGTTGTATCTTTGAGTATGAACAATTCCCCCACGCTCTTCTCGATGCATCATAGGCTGCAGTAATGGGAACTAGAAAGTCAACCCTCGTCCAAGCAAACAGTCGACCCGAATACGGGTTGATTGAGCTTGGAGCGATAGGACTAGAAGCGGTTGAACCTGCGGTCACCTCTCTTAGTGGAGTTGAAAAACTTGGCTTGGATGTTTCATCGTTCGCATACGTATCAAGAGATAGATAATCAAACAACTGAAAGCAGCTACTGCTATTTTGTCAGTAAATTTTGAAGAACAGTAGAATTTTCCTCCGAGTAGCCATGTCAACACTGTGACATCGTATTTTCAATCTCAACCAGGAGGTTAATCTGACGGGTTCTTCCCACACGAAGAAGAAGAAAAACCAGGAGTGGCAAGCACTGTTCGTCAAAGTCGACACATCGGCTCGTTTAATTGCATCCGCCGGTGTTAAAGCGTTTATCCCTATCGACACCTGTGCCAGGGGAACCGTGTCAACGTCGACGACACACCCGGTTGCTTCTAATGTTCGCGAAACCAGCACGGTCAAGGATGAATACTCTACGCGTCGTCCTCTAATGATGCGACCAAAGAATAGTGGGCGCTCAATCAAGCTTTTTTTTTTCGAGACGGCCCTCGAGCTTCACGATTCGTTGTCTCACAGCCAGGAACCGAGTTCGAGTTCCAGGCTCGCGTCGCAAGGTCCCGGCCGCATGCACAGTTAGTGAGCGTTCGTTAAGCTTTAGTGGATCGTACATCACGGTTGTCATCTCGGATTACATTATCACTTGGTCGTGCAAATCCACGGCAAAGGGGTGGTAGGTGGTCGCCTGATGAAGAAATGGAGCCTCTTGCGGCGATTCTCCGAGTTTGATGACCTGCACCAGTATGTGTGCATCGAGTTGCTGACTTGCGAAACTACGATACTACGGTATCGACCATTGCTTCACTGTTGCACGACAGAGCGTTAGTCGATGGGACCTCAATTGGGAGGAATTGATCTTGTCAAGCACACACGCGCCTGGACAAAGCCTTTGTTCACGATTTCCTAGAAGAGCGTCACAATTTGGTGGACTCCTTTTGAGACGCAAATTTCTACCTGCTGTCACCTTTTTCGAGGCACCACTCCGACCGGCACCTCAATTAGCAACTCGGCACAAGACACGGAAAGTTGAATCAGGTCTAGGAAATAACGAGTGTGCCAACGTGTCAGGCGAGTGGCAGATTCATCGCGCTTGTCTGGCACTGAAACAAACACATCTCATCTCACTATCGGGCATCCACCGCCAGCGATGCCACTTCAGATGATGGGAGGAGTCGGTCAAAGGGCTCTCGTACAGTGGTGTTGACGAACGTAGATCTTCGACTTCAACACAAGCACCGACGTCTTCACAAGCTTCAGCGTCAGCGTCAGCACGTCGCCATCACCGCAATGATAAGAAGCGACTACGTAGTCAAAGAGCCAAGAGTAGCGAGCTGGGGTCAAACATCAGCACAGGCTCAGTAGAAGCGGAAATTCGTCTAGCCGATCCAGCAGCATTAGACCACACGCAACACAAACTCAGGAAGGTGAACCTGTATCTTGACTTTCGGATATTTGCCTATTGAAGTCCTTTACCAAGACAACTGGTTTTAGACGGAGGGCTTGACGGGGACGGGCAAGGCTGGGATACCTGGTGCAATACGATAAGCAGAAGTGCCCGGACTTAGCTATAGGACACACATACGTACCCGACGATGAATAGAGCCTCCAAAAACAGGTTTCATGTAGTGTTCGTCAATCTGCCGGGTAGTCCCAAAACAAAACATTAGTTTTCCCACACGGATATAACATCACCTAAGTACAAAGTCCACAGATCAACGTACATTACTCCAAAATGAGTGCAAGGCACTTTTCTCTTCTCGACGAGCAAACACTGGGTGATTGCGAACGTCGTCATCATCGTCGTGGTCCGATATCTGATAGTACAAAATGTTTACACTTAGTACGCCACAGTTTCGAGATGAATCGCTTCAGAAAAATACAATTTCGTCGAGCAGGCCTAGCTCTTCCTCTCCCTCTTCGTCAGTCGCCTCCAGAGGGTCAGGTTGATCACGCTGTTAAGAGAATTAGCGAAAGAATGATTCATCTGAGAAACAACCGGGCTAACGAATAATAAAGGCTCATAAAACAAACCTTTAGACGCGTGTATGTCAGTAATGGCTCCGTCATTCCGCCGCAGATGATTGTAGTGAAAATACAAACTAAAGTCAAGTATGTCAAAGAAGCAAATAGCCACCAAATTGACTACACAAGATCGTACCAGAGAGTGTCGTAGTGACATACAAATCCTGGTTTGGGCCTGGCATGTTCCTGCAAGGGCAAAAGCAAGCGGTTAACACATAGGCTTCGCTCCCCAAAGGATTTTTTGCCTCACGTACTGAGATAGCGCAAAGGAAATTGCCCCGCGAAGTCCTGCAAACCATAGCACGACTTGCATCTTCGCTGGGATCTTAGTGCTACGCCTAGTGATACACGTGTCAGCTTTATCACGAGACCAATACATCATATGAACTGTCAGCGTACCCTTGATTGGCGATCCAACTGAGCGGAAACGTGTTGAATAGACGTGACACCCAGCAAAAGATGATGGCGAGGAAAACGAAGGTGAAGTCCCAGCGCCCAAACTGTCCAGCGCATACACCCATGCCCATGTACAGGAACACAAAGAACTCCGATACCAGCGCGAAGCTCTTGAAAATGTGCTCAGCTGTCACTTGCGATGGCTTGGATAAATTGTACGAGTTGTAGTGTGCCATGATAAGGCCACAAAAGAATAGTGACATGATGCCTGACAGCTTCATGACCTCTGCCAGTGCATACGAGCCATAGGCGTAGAGAAACAGCAGCGTAATCTCGTACGCAGGGTAGCCCTTGATGTTTGAATTTTTGCACATGAAAGAGCAGGCCAAGCTGCTCAGTAATGGAAATGAATCAATCGAGTTTTAGCATAAAATGCAAACAAACAGCACGAGTTTTAACATACCCAGTGAAGACACCGCACGCTACCGAGCCCAGGGAAATCAGCGTAAACTCCACCATCAAAGAGGCCACGGCGCTAGTCGTAAATTCGGTCTGGGACTCTTCAAACTATCACCGACATCATCATAAAAATCGTCAGTACCACAAGATTCAGAGCACTTCGGCATGCGTAAATAAAACCTTTAAGAAGGTATTGAACAGCACAATGGCCACGGCATCGTTCAGCACGCTTTCACCAAATACGAGACTGTAGAGCAGAGGATCCAGGTTCAGCTCCGGATTTCCCAGAATTGATAGTGTCGCCACAGGATCGACAGAAGAGATCAACGCTCCAAAGAGCAGAGACTCCAAAGGAGAAGAAGAGTCAATGTCGATCCAGCCCAACTTGCCAGCGTAATAAGTCAGGTAGCCGATAACAAACGTCGACACAACCGTCCCCAGCACAGCGTACAGTAGAATAGTGCTTATCAAACCCGTATAAATATTAAAAAGCTTTCCACGAAAGAAGAATACAAAGTCGCGAGAGTACACATACTTGAAGTTGTCAAAGAATCGTTTCTGGATACCAATCAGAATCACCAAAAAAAACAGTACAAATAAATCTACAAGTCCTACCCGGTGCACCGAATATCCCGCTTCAAAGATGATTGGCGGTAGCAACAGAAAGTAGAACAGGATTTTCTAGTGCACCACACCCCAACACGTAAAAGAACGTCAATTCTACCACGACAACTGAATTTTGACCGCGTACATTGAAACGGAGGAGCTCCATTTCCTTGCGACTTGGGTAGAAGAGACGTGCACTACACAGCTCCGACACACAAGTTAATTCATAAGCAGTTAAGCTGCGGCTAACACTTGTCGCACCATACGCCGACGATCATCCCCACCAGCATTGCGGCTCCTGATTCGGGCAGATAGTAGAAGCGGTATTCCTTGATCAAGTACGCGCACACAATGCACATGCCCAAGATAACCACCTGAAGCACACATCAACACAATGAGCCTCCACTGACGAGGAAAAAGTTCCTCGCATCTTCAAAATACGCACAAACAATAGCGTGTTGAGCGCGCCGAACTCGTGCAGCCCTTCTCCCGCCGCTTTCTCTGCAAATATGCAGCATAATAACCACGAAATCAGCACAAACAGTAACCAGTGCACATTCACACTTTACTACTAAAGAACGGCCGCTCTCATCGTGTTGTCTTCTCCATACAAAAAAGGTAGCCACACGCACCCAGTAGCTCGATGTTTGGCATTTTGCACTCTCTGCTTAGGTCACTTTTAGAAATGGCTACACCTTTCACCATTCGTGTAGAAAACACAAAGTATTAGATCCAGCCAATGAGCGCGCAGCACGCAGCCCGAATCAAGTGAGTATGGCGGAGCAATTGGCCGCATGTGCGCGACAGCTCTTCGAGGGCGCGTCGGGCAGCAACGAGCAGCGTGTCGCCAACGCGTGGATCATGCAATTCCAGAGGAGCGCTGAGGCGTGGCAGGCTGCGCTGCAGCTTCTGGAGACACCCGTGCGTGACCCACTGACGCATCAAACCTTAGCGGGCCCAGAGCTCGTGGCAATACAGATCCTACGGCTGAAGACGCAGCAGGAATGGACGAATATTAGTTCACAGCACCAGCAGGTGGTGCGTCAGGTGCGCTACTTATGTAGTGACGCATCCATCGCGACTCGCTCGAGATCAATAACACTATCTAACGGACGATACCAGACCTTGTTGAAGTTGTTGGAGGTGGCGTGCATGACAGACAGCGGCCTTTCGCCTGTGAGCCGCCGCATCGCCTGCGTCACGCTGGCGGATATTGTGGTCAAGTCGTACAAGACGTGGACCGGGTGGAAGAATGACGTGCAGCGGCTGGTGGACGCGGGTGTTGCTGCTCAGCGGCAGCATAAGGGAGCCGCGGTGGTATGATGGAGATGTGTTTTTGTTGCTGTTGTGAAGTGTTGGTGACGTATATACGTGGCTGCATACAGCTGACAGAGATTCTTGGAGCTATTCCGCTGCAGATTCTAGCGTCCGAGAGGATGTGGACTGCCGAGGAGATGAATGAAATGCTGACGATATTTCAGGCGGAAGGAGATGACGTTATGACGGCGGCGCAGATGGTTCTGACAAACATGTACGTCGTTGCAGTGTTTGTGGCAGGGTCTGGCTCTGACGGCTTGCGGTATGCAGGCCGGATGAGGGAAGCATTGCGCTTCGCTGTCTCGAAGGTTGGGTTGTGGGCTGTGTTCCTACCCACGAGGCGTTTGGTTTGACTGCTGCTCATCTTTTCGCTCGGTATGCTCGTTGCTGCGAAATGCATTGCTGTGCAGCCCAAATGTGAATCTAACAGCTCAGTTGTGACCGCGTAGTGGGCTGCTTGACGTGCTATTTGCTGCTGTCATCAATGGAAACGAGGAACAGGCGCAGGTGAAGTATGTGCGTCTTAGCCTTCGCTGCTACACTTTGAAATGTCTGACATTTTCATACGTAGATGGCTGCTGGAATTATCGCAGACTCTTTTGTGTCTGCGCCGGTGTCTGAAAATATGATCAATGCTGTGCTTCACTCGGCTCGTCGTTTAGTTGAAGCGATGGCAGTTTTTCAGTCGGAGGTTCGATCTCCTACCGGTGAGATTATAACAAGGGAGCAGCAGACGACGGCATGCCGAGGCATTTCAAGGATCGCGTGCTCTTTAGCGATGAATCACGCCCCCATACTGCTCTGGAATCAAGTATCTGGTATTCAAACCGACCAGCAATCCAGCTCATCCATGCAATTTTTGGAGCTGCTTCTGGCTTGCTCCTCGTACGACGACATCGATGTGGTGCAGCCCACGTTGGAGATCTGGTTCTTTTTCCTCGAAGAGAATTCGTCGCAAAGCGAGGCTTCATGGCAACTCTTGAACGCCCCCGGGAAGGAGCATGTTGTTAGCGTGCTTTCCCGTTTGGTCAATGCACTTATTGAGCGGTGCAAGTACCCACAGTGGCTCGTTGACAAGCAGCAACTTGTTAGCGACGACCCAGAAATTGAGGCGATCTCCGACTTGCGCAGGTAGTTTGTCATGCTATCCGAGCTGATATATATTGCTTTGGCCTAACATAAAATTGTGCACACGTTTAGAGAAGTTGCAGACACCATGCTGAGCTTATTTTCTAAATGGCCAGGAGGTCGAGGGAAACCTACAGGGGACTACGCCTCATGTGTGAAGGGCATGTGTCAAATGCTGGTGGAAAGCAAGGATATCGCGTTGATTGATGCGCTACTCTTCTTGCTTTCGTATATGGTTGAACTGTTTGATGCTGTATCGTCGGATTCGGAGTCTGAAGATGACCCAGAAGCGTTCCAGGATCCGGAATCTGGTGGAATCGATGTTTTGTTGGGGGTATTAGACTGCGCTCTCAGTCTTCCTATACATCCTCTCGTGATCAACGGCGTCGCACGGTACGTAGACTTACAACCACACACTCTGGCGCTCAATTTACCGCTGAACTTTTGTTCGTGAATAGGTACCTACGATCGCTGAGCACCTCACTAGCATTGCCCGCTAGTGTATACCTGCGTGCCTCGATGATCATTTGCCAAGGACTTCAGTATATGTCGTCCTTTCCAGTGGCGGTGCAATCGCTGCTGCATCATAGCTCTTCAATAACGTAAGTGGGAGAATGGATCACCGGTCGTCACGTCAGTAGAGCTCATGATGTCATTGTTTCACTGTGCAGTAAATACACGACCGTCGATGAGAGAGCGCCTCTATTGCGGGCTTTACTCACATTCTGCAGCACGCTACAAACTCAAACAACCCCAGAGAGTGAAGGAGATTTACTGGAAGTAACTTTTCGGATTGCTAGCGGCGTATCAGACGAAGGTACGATTGCAGAAGTTTAGGTTTGATGGACCATTAAGTTGTTGCTATTGTCGTAGATTTTGGCGGATTGTGTTCAACTGTTCTGTCCAATATAACAATTCGTGTACAAAGTGGGCACCCGATGGAGGTTTCCAGTAGCGTGTATATGTTGGGTCGAGCCCTTGGTGGTGTCCAAGACCAGAAGCACGGATTCGCACTGGTTGATCTGCTCTGGTCTATCGTGAGCGCCTCCCTACTTCAGCACAAAGGAGATGAAAGCTGTCGGCGAGCAGGAGCTCAGTTTTTCCTAAATGTCATCCCTCATCTGCAGAAGGAAGGCGTGCATCCGATCGAGGCTCAAGTACTGGACGTGTGTCTGTGGTGGTATGAGGAAGGCATCGCCCCTGAATTCCTCACCTGCTGCACTAGAATAATCGCGCGGCAACGAGACAATACTGACTTCGAGGTTTCAGCAGGGCAGACGTTTGAGGTGCCGAAAGGACAATGTTTTAGGAAGGTTTCTGGTGCTGTACTAACCTTCTTTTCATTTGCTATTTCAGCGCCTTCTTGCTGGATTTCGTAGCAAACTGCACGATGCAAGAGGAACCGATGACGAGCTGTCAATGGAGAGCTTCCTGTTACAGCATCATGAGGCACATAAAATGATTCCAGAGGTTGAGCAGTTCATGAAGATGGCACGAGAGGTGTTGAGCTCTTTCCCACAAGTACTGACGAAGGACTGCTCAAACGGAGAGCCGACTCTGTTTTGGGTTTGTCTGGATCTCGCAACAAGGCTTCTGAAAGTGGACCACCAGGTACGATGCTGCTTCCTTAGCAATTGACTAAAGTCGTATCTACCGCTCATGTAGTCTATGGTGTCGTAAAACGTAGATACAGGAAATGTGCGATGCTGCATGCGATTTCCTCCTGGACGCGATGCGTTGCCAACCGGAGCCGATTCTCGAGAGGATACACATATTTGCCTCAGAGATTGTGCGTGTTGTGCTGAGCTTCTTGGGCCTCAGACGACAGCATTATCGCGTGCGGAACCTGTGGGATTTTCTGTTTCAGTGTGTACATGGCCCACAGATGTCAACGCAAATTCGAGGCAAGTTGCAGAGTGCTCATGCTTTTAGATTTGTAGCTCAAGCGATCTAATTCACGGTGATGTCGCCTTTGCAGGCGGTTTCCTGGTCGCTGTATCAACCGTTGTGATCGAAGAATGTGCGCTTCACCCGCTCCTACCAGCACAAGTGTATCAGCAAATGCCTGGTGAACTGCGAATGCGTCGCCAGAGGCATCACTTTCGTCAGTACTTTACCCAGTTGGATCGCGCTGTCGATGCGGGGAACTCTTAGGCGCTCGATTCCGCGACGGCCATCAAATCAGCTTCGCAGAGCACCGACCATTCCGTTTTAGATGTGGAAATAAGGTGAGTATCGAGCATGAAGTACTGTACGCGATACAATGAGGGACTACAACTTGCATACATGTTACTTCGAAGTAGTTTGGACAGTTTGAACATACCGGTACAACACTGTACTTGTATGTCAACGGTACTGCGTTAGAGCTACACCTTTAGCCGATCTACATGTAGATACTGCGAAACGTAAAGTCAATCCTTTTCAGCCCATTGCCACCTTGTACGATAGAATCGAGAGGCACATAGGGTTCCTCTCGTAATTCGAGGGTCTGATGCTGGTGTATTTCGTGAGGCGAGAAAAGGATGTCTTCGTCGATCGGCTCATCGCCGTCGTCTAAAATTGTTTCGAGGAGTGCGAATGCAGCGTCCTCCAGCCGTTGCATCTCCATTGGGTCAACACCCTGTGACTGGTGTTTCAGAGTGTGAATAAGGAGATCTTGTTCAATTGGCGTGTCATCATCTTCAAGAGTCATTTCGAGCAGTGCAAATGCTTCCACCTCCAGCTCACCACGTTCTTGCTCGTCAGCAGTGAGTAACTCCCCGTCTTTATTGCAAACATCCTCGCGAAGGATCGATTCAAGCAGAGCAAAAGCCTTTTCATGCCCCATATCATCCTGGGTCTTATCCTCCTCAGCCGTGCCACCGGTAGACCGAGCGATAACATGCACTTCGTCATGTTCGCCGTCAAGAATTGATTCTAAGAGTGCGAAAGCTTCATCCTCCAGCAGTTCCTCTTCGGACCACTCTCCCAAAAACTTCTTTTGAGCTCCAAAACTCAGCATATTTTACTACAGAGCCAATTTGGAAATGGAGTGTTTGGTGCACTTCATGCACGCAATCCATCAGCTCGAATCTATCAATTCTTGCATCAAATACGGTGATTGACGTGTTTTCGACCGTCGTGTGGAGGCATGTACATGTACATACAGTATTTGTAAGAAAATGTCAGGAAAATATTGGCTCACAAATTTTGGGAACCACCAGTACCTTCACCACTCTTTATACAGGTCCAAAACTCTCTTGAAGAAAGGGTTCGCCCCTCTCTGTGTGTGGACTGTTCGGCCTCGAACGCCTCTGCTTCCAATGCCCGCCACAGCCTCCGGGTCTTCACTTGTGACTCGCAATCGAGCCGACCATGCGTCAACCCGCGCCGCCCCAGGGCGTCCGTTTCGCGTGGGCAGCGACGGACTGCCGCTGCTGCCGTGCCACGATGCGCCTGTGAGCGGTATGCCTGCCTCATCGCCCCCCCCAACGGCCGTCGCGCTGTTCGGCCACGTCGACACGAAACAAAACGTGCGCGCGCAGCTCATATCACGCTACAGCCACTCGAAGCAGCTCGACCAGATCAGCGAGATGACACTACGCATCGACACAGAATTGGAGCTACTACGCCGAAGCTGCTTCGCTCAACGCAACGAACAGTGGGGGTACAGCACGCCGGACCAATTTGAGTACCAACCGACTCCTACGGACGCATGGACGCCCCAACCAGCGAACGAGAAGATGCTACTGCGTAAGATGAAAATGGACGGGACGCTGGACGGTAGTGGGAGGGAATTCTTTCCTCCAGGTAAAACCCACGACAAGGAGATGATGGAATTCGTGCGGGATCGGCCCTGGCCGCCTCAAGAGTTCGCGTTGAAACCCGTGGCGAAACCTTCTAGGGGCCGAGGAGGCAAGCGCAAAGCTGCGCCGATGGCGGCGGTGCTGGACCCTGTGCCACTGCTAGCAAAGACTTGTAGGGAGTGCAAGACGCAGTCGACCCCGCTGTGGCGCACACAGACGAGAACTGTGAAGGTGAAAAAAGTGGTGCTGAAGAATACTGCAGGGAATGACGTTGCAACGAACTTGGCGAATGCGTTTGTGGCGCAGAGTATGGCCAAGATGGAACCGCAGAAGACTGAAGTGAAAATGGTGGACGAGAAGATCGAGGTGGATCTGTGTTTGCAGTGCTATTTGAAGCTGGAGCGAGCGGATCTGTTCGATAAGAAGCGTGTTGAGAAGAAGAAACAGGAACGACGGAAGAAAGACCAAGCCGCTTCGGCAGCGCTGCAGGAGAAGAAGCGGTTGAAGCACCAGATCCATCTCTTGAAGAAGCACAAGAAGCAGGAGATGCTGGCGGCGGAGCAAGCTGCTGGCGAGCAAGTGACGGAACAAGTACAGGACGAGGCTGCAGCTCCAGCGGCGGTGATTCTCAAGTTTACAAGAGAGGAGATTGAAGCTGCCACGGCTTCGTCTAAGGAGCGGAAGAGGGACCGTAAGCATAGTCGCAAGGACAAGAAGAAAAAGAAGAAGAAACATCGTCGTCAACGAGGATATCACGAGGGTTCAGAAAGCGACTGTCCGACCCCGATCCCATCGCCAGCGCAGATGAATGGATACGTGTACGCAGATCGAGCCCTAGATTCGTTCACCACGTCTCAACGTTCAGCGTTCGACATCGAACAGGCACCTGTGGAAGCGACGGCGGTTAACACTGAACCGGAGGCATTAGATAGCGGCTACCACGAGGATGAAAACGAGGTAGCAACCCCAGCGAGATCTTCATCTCGGAAGCGAAAGAGCGTGCAATATACCGAGCCAGCCGTCGTGGTGGAATCGCCCGCATCTGCTTCAAAGAAGCGCAAGACGTCTTCATCTCGGAGCTCGCGGTCAAAACGGGCGGCTACAAGTGTGGCGCCTGCTGCTGCCGTGGTTGCGGCCCCTCCGACCCCATCTGTAAAAAAGCGTTCTCGTACGAAGAAGGAGCTGGCGCGTGAACGTGAACTGCGCGCGCAGGGCCAATATTGCCCTGTGTGCAACGAAGTATACGAGGACGACGATCAAAACACGTTTGTGTGCTGCGACTCGTGCGAGCTCTGGGTGCACGGTGCCTGCGATCCCAGTCTTACCCCGTACGTCGTGCTGTTGGATATGATGGAGTGTTGTACGATACTGATGTTTTTGTTGATCTGTGTGTGTGTGTGTGTTTCAGAGCGATTATCGCGGCCATGGCCAACACCGAAGACAAGTATATTTGTCCGCTGTGTGCTGGACGGTAAACGCGCGATGTTGATATAACTGAGAAAGACGAGCGTGACGCCCAGCCTGCCAACTAATATAGACCATGAAGATGATGCTCCGATGCTTCGCGCTGTGTTTAGTTTGTTGAGTTCCTTACTCGTGCATTCACCGTCGGCAATCCACTTCAGCTAAGCAAAATGGAGTGTCGAACATCAATTACGTACAAAACACAAAACATGCGCACTGACAACCACACAGTCTTTGACATCAAGTTAGATGTTTGCTCTTCGAGGGATCCGCCGCTTCTCGACGGGAGCACCGCGCAAGGGTACTTTTCTGCGGTGTAACTACCATTCCATTGAGTGCTGAGCTAATTCGCGTTGCTGTTATTTCCGCTCAGAGTATCCCACATCCTTCATTTCGCACTTGCGTACTCAAAAGCTAAACGTGTTCAACATCGGCATTGCGTTCCTGACACTGTCGCTGTCATCGCAGATGGTGTCGTACAAGCAGCGCTACGAGACAGCACTGGGGGAGAAGGAACAGCTCAGCGAGAAGGTGGAGGTGCTGGAGAAACTCGTGCTGGATCTAGGCGGCAAGCTGCCGGACGAGGAGGCGCTGGTCAAGGCTAAGGAGGCCGCCAAAGAGGCTGAGGCCAAGGCGCAACGCGACCGCGAGGAGGAAGCCAAGGCACTTGCGTCTTTGACGGCGGACGACAAGAAAAGCAAGAAGAGTAAGCTTGTTTAGGCCAGAGACGGTGAGACAGCATACATAGAGGATAGTCGATACGCAGCGCCGTAACCAGCCAGAGTGTGGACGGACGCTGAGAATCGAGCAACACGCTTAAGCTCGAGTAATTGTTGGTGCGAAGTGTCAGTTTGTACACTGATCTCGTTCCTTGTATTACTTCTTGATGGTCGACTGCAGCGAGCGTCTGGACGAGACACTGTCCATTCGGTTCATCTCGTTCACGGCCGTCAGCACCTCGTTGATGTTGGTCTCCAGCACCATGCCGCCCATGACAATTTCATCCAGCGCGTAGTGGACTTTGTCGCTGTGGAAAATCAGGTCCAGCTCGCACACGTTCTCGAAGATCTTGTCCAGCGTTTCCACAAATACTGCAGTAAGCAGATACCTCGTTAGCCCACCACTACAACACTATCCTGCATGAGCATACGCACCTTGAATCAGATCCAAGATGCCCAGGTCGCTCTCCTGCTTATCAACTGCGAAGACGAAGTACAGCGTTGCGTAGTGCCGATAGATTAGCTTCACACCGTCTCCCCAATACCGCACCCTGTACGTCCGCACTCAGCGTTAGAATACATAAAACAGGTATATGGTATAATGTTTTCAGTGGGACCACGTACGTGCCCTCGAGAAAGTTGCAGAGCGTGTCGGGACGCTTGGACACTTGCGTGTAAATATCTCGGATCACAGCCTGCTGCTCGGCATCGGGCTAACAAAATCGATGCAGCGCATTAGCAACCAGAGGCAAGACATCAGAGCCATGGCAAAGCTGCCTGTGGACGAACCACGTGCTCGTAGAACTTGACGATGCGCGGCTTGCCGTGGTTGTTCACGATGAGGATCCCCTTGATCATCTTCTGTGTCAAACTAAACTGTGTGCCTAAAGTGTGGCATGTAGGGTATGTGTTCTCCCAGGACCTCTTTTGTTCACATACCTTCTGCTGTTGGTCGAAAAACATCCGCTAAAAAGTTCAAAAATAGATCAGACATGGCAGGACGTGGCACCAATAGCTCAACTGCTGCAGGCGATGCGGCTGTACCTCGTTCGTCTACGTCCCATCGATTAGGGACCGATGCTGTGCGAGGTCGCCACCGAGGTTCATCCGGAAGACAAGCTGCGGGAAGCTCCGAGGATATGGAGCGAGAGGAAGATGAAGAGGTAGAAGACTCGGACGACGAAGAAGAAACGCAGATCCCCATTGAGGACCAGATGATGGAGATGACGCAGGAACTTCCAGCCACAGAGCGAGATACGAGTCCTCCGCCAGTGCAGAGACGCTCTCCACCTGCTTCGCCGCCGCCGATGACTGAAGCATTGGCAGGCCCGACAACGGGCTCTCCAGCAGCCAGCATGTCGCCATTTGCAGACGTCGAGTCGACGACACCGCAGTCCAATGAGGACGAAGACTCGAGATCCGAGACGTCGTCGGAGGTGAGTCTGGGATCAGGTCGACCTGGAAGACGTCAAAGGGCCAGGAAACGCGTGTCGACAGCCTGCTCGGACCACCGGAATCTGTCCGAGAGAATGAAGAAGGCAGTGGCTTGTGAAGGAGACGGAGAAGATAGCTTTGGGCAGTCGATGATTGGCGCAGACGTTGTGCTGTGTGTCAGACACAATGAGAACCGTCGAGAGGCTAATGGCCACGGCAATGCTGCAAGTAACGGGAGCACTGTAAGAGGCATTCGACGGTTCCATGCTCACAGATTCATTCTGGCAGCCAGCTCGCCACCGTTTCGTGCAATGTTGATGGGAAATATGCGCGAATCGTCACGGCGAGACGTGGAACTGCACGATATTGAACCTAACATTGTGGAGAAGATGTTGCTTTTCATGTACACTGGAGACGTGGTGCTGGATCTGGAGAGTGTGCTGGGACTGCTGATCGCCGCGGAGATGTATGAATTGGTAGCGCTGCGAGAAATGTGCAAAGGTTTTGTACTCAAGTATGCACACGAAGTGTTTTGCGACCCACAGATCGTCCAATTACCTGAGAAAATATTGCTGGAACTTATTCCACAGGACGAGCTTCAGATTCGAGAAATGGCACTAATGGAAGCTCTTGTCATGTGGGGAGAGTCTCGTGTGGCTAATGCTAACAAACCTTTGGGCGAGTTACTGGCAGAAATGATGGATTTCGTACGCTTTCCTACGATGAGTGTTAGCGATCTCTACGGCAAAGTACGTCCTTTGGTGAACAATGGGGTCATTTGCGAGCACCTCCTTACTGAAGCGCTTTTTAATCACCTGAAGTGGGGGTCGCAAACTGGCATCGCGTCGAAACGTGCAAAGCCGCGTGCACTCACGGCCTCGCTGCGCAAGCGTAAGCGCGTGTCGTTTACCCAGCATGTCACATTCGAGACAACACCGCAAGGAGATGGGACATGAGCATAGGCAAGGCCAAAGGAGAACGATGACTGGCAGAAGATTGTCGGGTTATTATAATTATTACGCCGTAGCATTTTCAACGCGAAACCATTCACCACTTCACTTTTCTCTTGCTTCCGCACACAAGTCGCTTGCCCACCCAAATATTCTTACGTGTCGCGGTATGTCTCCCGCCTAACTTGACTGCACTTGGTGGATACTGCATGGGTGTTTTGTTCACCCAACCTGGCCAGCATATCTTGCCCACCGGACCCCGTTATTCGGCGCATAAGGTGTCTTCGTCCAATGAATGATTCCTTGTCCAATCAATCGAATTCGTTCATACTCATACTAGCTTCGGTGGAGTATTCGCCTTGCAACACGTCCAGAAATGTGCTTGAGACCTGACAATCACAAGAAGAAAAGTATCGAGAATTAAGAAGGACTCCAGCGTCTTACACGCAGCATATCACGCTTACATTGAAAGCTCTTGCAGTAGCAAAAAAACGGTCGACATCGCTGTCGGACTGGTGCAGAAACACGTTAGTTGACCGGCATGATTACAATCAAGACGCATCGCTTTATCGGATACCTTGTGGTTATAGAACCAGTTGACATTTGAGAGGTAGGCGAAGATATCTTCAGCGATCGACTTGCGTAGAAGAGGAGTCTGCACACAGTACTATCTTGTTCAGCTACAAAATTTAAGTATTCACACAAAGCTGTACGCGTCTTATAGTACCTCAATGATGCTGAAGATCGCCAAGCACGTTTGGAAAAACACTTTCCAACCAAACTCGAAAAACAAATCCAGGAACGCAATAACATAACGGTGGGGAAACAGCCGACACTCGGTGAACAGCGTCAGGATCCAGCTAGCGGCAACCAGAGAAGACGGTTATGATAGCGTCGCAACAAACACACAAAAGATACAAGGCAAACTCACCACGATGCGTAGGTCGAAGGGTGGATATCCCGATCTGACATGTGAGCATGCAGACGTGGAAGATGCAGTCGCAGTGCTTCGTCAAGCTGAAAGTAGCGAAGGTTCACATCCTTCATGTCGGGACGATAAACGTCGTCCAGTCTGTACTTTTCCGAGAGAGCCAGGAACAAACGAAACGCGATCTCGCTGTTCATCTTGGACTCTTGCACAAGTACCGCCGCCACAGACGTCATACCCTGGAATCAACGGGAAATTAATCAGGGAAAAACACTTTTAGTTAGTCAGGACAGGTACTGAAAGTTTCCCAACCTGGCAGTATCCAATCTGCGGCTTAAGCATTAGGAACACACTCAGCAACTGATGTGTGCTGGATCTCCAAGTCTTGATGTCCGAAGATGAATACTGGTGCTTAGAGAGAAAACTTGACAGCCTGGAGTTAACCATCCGTATCTGTAGCTGGTGGAACGTGCGATCAACATCCTACAAATGTAACAGAATTAGCACAAGCATCCTTATTCTAGGTGTACATAGTTCTTCACAACGTCGCTCACCCTGTCAAGAGTCCGTTTCTGCTCTAATCGTGTCCCTTGTAATCGACGCTGCTTAGATAGATTGTGCACAAGCCACTGGTAGTCGTCTCCCGTGATGTCTGTGGGTACCACGAAGGACTGGCGTTTGCGCACCAGGAAGAGCCACTTCTCACCATGACAGCCGAACGGCAGCATCTTGAAGCGCCATAGTAGTTGCCGGAATGAGAAGGTGGGCTGGGCACCACGCACTTGAGGCTGGCAGCTCTTACACAGAACGTGGGGCTGATTACCACATGAGCAGAATTGACACACGAGTGCGTGGCAGAACTGCAGATTTCCACCACGTTATAAATAAAAATCGATTAGAGAAAAATAGTTGTGATACCGTGTCAAACAAAGAAACGGTTGGGGAGATAACTGACGCTGCATGGTTTGGCTTGGCGGAACCGGTGGCAGGCGACCTGGCAGCACTGGCAGAATGGAGGTGGATCCACTGCATCTGCATCTGTTGGACCAGTGCTAGTGGCAATGGAGATGGAAGTCCGCGAGATCGCCATGGCCTTCTCGGCAGTCGATATCTTATTCAATTGTGGCCAGTACAAAGCCCAAAGTATTTTTAGACTCACGACGACGATAATCCAACCCTATCATGGAGCATATGAACTCTACTGAAGCATATGGTTACTTCAAGTTGCCTTTTGTTACTTCTCCTCGTCGTTGCCCTCCTCGCCCTCACCATCGTACTCTGCGGCATCCTCGCCCTCAGCTTCAGCCTCAGCTTCCTCTGCGCCATCCTCTGTGACCAGACCCTTGTTCCACAGCTGACGACCTGCGAAAGAACAAGCGTCAAGTTAGGCATGGTCGTCGTAGCCCTCGCTTCGTTCTGATTCTGGTGTACCTGTGAGTTTCGCGGTAGTCTCGTCCTTAATGGAGATCTTCTTCTTGGGCGCCATCTCAGCATCGAACTTCGCTTTCCAGGCGGCGAATGTCTCGACGGTCACGGGCGTGCCTGCAAAGTACCATGCAGTAAAGCTACTGTGCAGGACATTCCAAGTGTTGCAATTAATTGTCACCCTTACCGTGAAATTCACGCCGGCTTTCCTCAGCATTTGCATTGGCCTGTATTTTGATCATAGGCGCAAAATTCAACACATAAGCAACTGCAGACTCGGTAGCGTCATGCCCACTGCCAGTGCTGCAACCCACCTGCTCTAATTTGTCCGCTTCCACCTTCTCCTCTTTCTTCTTTTTCAACTCCATGCGACGCAGCATCTCCTGGTGCTCCGATCCATCCTGTCCAGAAGCGAAATCCAGGCCCACGATTCATTCCAGCCTCAGTTCACCATACTACAGCCAGAGCCAGGTGTGTGCAACGTACATTTCCTTCGCGATTGTTTTCCACTAAATACTCACGCACGACCTCCGATAACGTGTACATCATGGCCATGCCCATGTTTTCCTCCATCTGCTGAGCCAGTAAATCCTTGACCGCCTTCACCTGCCTGTCTGATAAACCTTTCTTCACGATAACCTCAATCTGTTAAGCACAACACGTGCAGCCATCATGGCACTAGTCAGTATTTTGTGCTTGTACTTGTATCCTGTACCCTCTTCATCACTAACAAACCTTCGGCTTTACGTCGGGGTACGTCTTCGGGATTTCTGCCTTAAGCAACAACGCCACTATATCCAACAATATCATATCGTTTTAATCAGGAAACAATCCACTAAATTGCAAACAGTGCAACGCACCGAAGTTGTTCTCGCCGTCTTGGTTGGGCACCACGTGCACCTGGTAGTTCAGCGGTTCGTCGGACAGCTCTACCACACGATCAACATTAAAATAATTGGCTTCAATTAATACATTGCATATCCACGTATTTAACAGCGACCGTAACGCACTGGTAAAGTCGTCCATGTAGATGGCCTCGAGGGCCTCCACCTCCATGGCCTGCTCCTCTTCGTAATCTGCCAATCATACCACAGTGAAAGCAGCTTTAGTCTCTCGTCGCCCCGTTAGTTTTGTCTTTTTCATACAAAAAACACACGTCGAGGCGCTGCGCAGCTCCGTGCGTCACACTCCGCCATTCGTACCAGTCATCTTGAGCCTGTGTGCGATGTTAAGCAAAATGCCCCCTTCCAGCTGGTGATTGGTCAGATATCTGTTTTATCGTACGCTGATTGGCAGAGCGAATTGAACACCGTGATGGACGAGGACTACAAGCTCGCCAAGGAGGCCTTCGTCTCTGGCCTCCAGGGCACCAGCGCATCGGAAGTTTTTCTCGTTTTTGCCCTCGCACCTGTGCGTATTAGCCTGCAGATGTTTCCATCGTGAAATGGAGCTGAATCGCGGAGAATTCACGTTGGAGGGCACTAAACACCGCGTTGTTACGTCGTCTCAGGGGAGTTTATGGCTTTATTCGGAGCTTATGCTGCTGCTAGAGGTCGTGGGGATCCGACAACTGGGCGCCGGTAATTTAGTGAGTGGTTGAGCATTAAAATATGCTGTGCTTATTAAGTTGGCTCTGTGGGCTCATTGGCATTTGAATGACGTGGCAGAACTTGGTAGCGACGATCTTGGTGGAGTTCATCGTGACGGTGGTGCCTACGATGATCGGCTTTAGCTATGCCGAGTATGCAATCCCGCTGCTTGCGATGGTATATTCACTGGCGGCGACGTTTAGTGCTCTGTCCCGATTCCATGCCAAGGATTTTATTCGCAAGCACTGCAGGAAAGAGAAGATGAACCAACTGCTCGAGAAGGAGCTGCCATTCTTGACAAACTTCCGCGCGCAGATCATGATCTCTACGTACGTTTGCTGAAGTTTGGTGACAGAGTGGTCGCTTTCGTATCGCTTACCGCGTTCTAAACGATGCAGGTGCTTCGCGATCTTGGCAGTCGACTTCACCGTCTTCCCTCGTCGCTTTGCCAAGACAGAAAACTTTGGGTTCAGTGTGGTAAGCAGCATTTTAATTTTTTAATTACGCGACATCGTAACGGAGGTACTTGCTACGGATGTAGATGGACATCGGAGTTGGTGCGTTTATCGTTTCTTCTGCAATTGTGTCAGCACCTGCTCGTCAAGCCCGTCCTAGCGCAAGCACCAAGAGGTTTGTCGTACCCCAGTGGCATAATTGCTACCGATACTGTAGCATAGCTAAACTCGTTTCGTCGGTGCAGACCTCGCCTCGATCCACCCGAGAGCATTGTGAAGAAATGCTACGCGTTCCTTCGACCGATTGCGCTTGTGCTGGTGTTTGGAGCTGCAAGATTTCTGACTGTGAAAGGTGTCAACTATCAGGTACGACTAACCATTCTCAAAGGCAAAATAGTTGTAAATTAACCTCTCTTGTGGTGATCAGGAACATGTGTCTGAGTATGGAGTTCACTGGAACTTCTACTTCACTCTAGCAGGAGTGTATCTTGTGTACTCCTTCCTTCGTGGCTTCGGTAAATGGGCTTGCGGCCCCATTGCGGCGATATTAATTGCAGTCAGTGCGTATGCTCTCCATATATTTTATTTATCGAATGGTGAATGACTGCTGACGGTATTGCAATGTCCATCTGACAGGCTACCAAGTGTATCTATCTCATTTTGGCGGTGAAGAGTACATCTTAAATGCTCCTCGTCACAATTTGATGAGTCAGAACCGCGAAGGGATTCTTAGTCTAGCGGGTAAGTCAACTTTCACGTCTATAAGCTGCCGAACAAGCTGACGTTTGGTGTGTTTTGCTTGGTCAAGGCTACACCTCGCTCTACATGCTGTCGGTATACATTGGCCAGTGTATTTTCGGCTACATGGACTCCAACGTGTTGAAACTTCACCGCAACATGAGGTGGCTTACGATCGCGCTCTTTGTCATCTCCGGGTTGGTATGGGTCTCAACTTTCCTCTCTGTGCGTCTTGTTGCACGTCCGTCCCGTCGAATGGTGAGAGCAAACTTCTCTTTAGTGCTGACAATATCGTACTCCTACACACGTGGCTCTGTCCTTGGATCTTTCAGTTGAACGTGTCGTACTTGCTGTGGGTCATGGCTGAGTCCCTCACCCTACTCGCTCTCTATAGCGGGACTCAAACTGTCTGGTACGTGATCCACCCTCACTAGCAAAATACTTGTGGCAACTGACGTACTTTACACCGTTTTTTATAGTATGCTGCCGAGAGTGCCGATACTTTTCCAGGGTATCAATTACAACCAGCTCTTTATCTTTATTGTGGTGCGTTTCCCGTTTCCACGACTTGACTAGTTGCGTCATGGAACGATAACAAGGTGGATACTGTGTTTCAGGCCAATCTCACGACAGGCGCGGTAAACCTAAGCATGCATACAATCAGCTCGAGCACCATTGCGGCGTCCGGCGTGCTTGTGGCATACATGTTTGCAGTCTGCGTGCTCGCCTCGGTGTTGCAGTACACAACTATCCGTATCAAGCTGTAGCCATGTGAATTGAATTAACATAAATCAATATACGATACAGTCGGGTCTATGCAGACCATCAGTGCGGCACCACCAAGTACTGTAGCGGCAGCAATTCCTTTGCCAGGAAAGTGTTCGTACAGTACATGTACAGGAGCGCAACAGCTATAATTCTTGAGCGTTGTGGGGATGCCGCAAAGAAGGAGGTTACGGCCAGAATTGGCTACAAAGAGGCGTTACTAGGCGTCGAGAGCCACACATTTCAAGTGCGATCTTCCAGCAGTGCCACACCAAATACACACAAGTCAATAACGTTTTATTTCCTGTTAAATCCGCCGTCAGGCTGTTCCTGAAATACCATTCCACCTCCTTCCTTTTTAAATGGCCTTTCTAAATAATTTCAATGAAACAGCAGCTGACGGATGGCCGCTTCCTTCATGACCACGGATGACATCACACTCCAATTCGCACTCACGGCCGGAAAGACCATCGGAACCTCTGCTTCCCCTGCATTGTCACCACTAATTGACGAAGTAGAAGCTGCCATGGCCCCTATCGAGACCGAGAAGACCATCGTTAACGGTGCGACAAGCTCTCATCATCCGCTTGTGCTTCTGCGTGTCTTTAGGACTCACCTTGATCGATTCTTTGTGTTGTAGAGGGTCTTTACCAGCGCAAGACTGCTGCTGATGCAGCTACTAACAAGTCTGCCGCCACCTACACGTGGCAGGACGTGGCCAAGCACAACACAGACAACAGCGCTTGGGTCATCATCCGCGGAATCGTATACGACGTAACTGGTGCGTATTTAGCGATCCATTGGCCTACAAGAGGCCTAGTACGACTGATAGATCACTGACAATATATCCTTGTGTACCACTAGAATGGGCGGATCGCCACCCTGGAGGCCGTGAACTCGTGCTGCTGCACTCTGGTCGCGAGTGCACCGACACATTCGACTCGTACCACCCATTCTCTAACCGCGCCGAGAAGATCCTGGCCAAATACGCCATTGGCAAGCTTGTCGGAGGCTCCGAGTTCCCCACCTACAAGCCTGACACAGGTTTCTACAGGGAATGCTGCGACCGTGTGCACCAGTACTTCAAGGACAACAACCTGGACCCTCGCAGTCCGTACTCGGGTCTGTTGCGCATGCTTTTCGTGGCTATCCTTGGTGCGGTGTCCTACGTGGGTATGAACCAGCTGCTGTCCGACAACATCTACGCACACTACGCATGGGGCGCCCTCTTCGGTGCGTGCCAAGCTCTACCTTTGCTGCACGTGATGCACGATGCCTCACACGCGGCCATTACCAGCAGCCCTACAGGCTGGAGACTTATCGGGCGTCTTGCAATGGACTGGGTGGCCGGCGCCAACATGGTGTCTTGGCTCAACCAGCACGTTGTGGGCCACCACATCTACACGAACGTTGCGGGAGCTGACCCTGACCTTCCCGTGGACTTCAAGAGCGACGTGCGTCGCATAGTGTACCGCCAGGTGTTGCTTCCAATCTACAAGTTCCAACACATCTACCTACCTCCGCTCTACGGCGTGCTCGGCCTCAAGTTCCGTGTTCAGGACATCTTTGAGACGTTCATCTCCCTCACCAACGGACCGCTACGTGTGAACCCCCTCTCTATCGGTGACTGGGCTGAAATGATCATCTCCAAGGCCTTCTGGGCGTTCTACCGCATCTACATCCCGCTGGTTGTGCTGCAGGTTAACCCCGCTCGCTTCTGGGGTGTTTTCCTTCTGGCCGAGTTTGTGACGGGCTGGTACTTGGCCTTCAACTTCCAAGTTAGTCACGTGTCCACGGCATGCGACTACCCTGGTGGTGATGAGGAGGTATCGGCTATCGAAGACGAGTGGGCTATCTCGCAGATCAAGTCATCGGTAGACTACGCGCACGGCTCGTTCCTCACGGCGTTCCTCACGGGTGCACTGAACTACCAGGTGACCCACCACCTCTTCCCCGGCGTCTCGCAGTATCATTACCCTGCTATCGCCCCGATCATCATGGACGTGTGCAACAAGTACAAGATCAAGTACACGGTGCTGCCTACGTTCTCAGCGGCTCTGGCTGGACACTTTGAGCATCTCGTTGTCATGGGAAAGATGGGCAAGCGTGTGACCGTCCACATGGGCTAAGCTTACGTCCGCTTAGCTGGTCGTCATTAATCGGCTGCAATCTGCTGTTTAACCGGTTGTCTCAACTCGCTGGTAAACATTACATGTACTGGCGAGCTGAGGTGGGAGTGGAGGAAGAGGTTGCCAGGGACTATTATACTCAGTATTGCATTGAGGTCAATTAGTACTTTTGTTTCCATTCCTTTCTTCTGTCAATTGAAACTACTGTACATGGTACTGGCAGGAACTGCGTACCGGAATTAACGGTATTTTTGCAACCGATCAATTTTTTGCAACCAGTGGCCCGTAAAAAGTCTGCAGCACCAGCAAAATTAACCAGTTTGGCATCAAAGCAGTGTCCCAGTAAAAGCGCGCTATTGCTTACAGTATTGTGAGCAAAGCGATGGTTTCAAATGGACAGGAGTATCTTATGCGAGATTTTACGCCTTCCGCCGTTCTGTCTTGAAACCGGTACATGTAGCACCTCGATGCAATTCGTGCCAAGTTTACAGGACCAGAACTCGGTAACAGTAAAATTGAACCGATAGCCATTACCGGTAAGTACATGTACCGCTTTGATACCGGTACTGGCGGTATCATACTTGCAGGAAGTCTTATTTATAATACTTCAGTACCGTATTCTAGAACTTTATTATTAAAAACATGCACATGTGTAGTATCATTGCTCAAGCGCGAACAAGTGCTCGTTCCGAAAGAGTCGTTCGTGCCTTCAGCGCTCGTGGCATCGATTCAACGCCACGAGTCCGACTCGGACTATTAATACATGTACAACACCTCGTGTTGTTTCCGGTTCTGGCTCGTTGCAATTTATACAATCTGCAGCTGTCGCTGTATGGGCACTGCCCATTGGGCAGATCCCGATCAGCCTTTCCAGACTCCACAAGTCGTGGGCGCACAGCTTTGATTTCGTTCCTGACCCCTTTCTTCAAGAAATTCTTGCCCTGCAAGCCAGACCGATTCTCTCGCTTTCGCCTCTCTCCGTCCCCACGACAAGAAAAGCAGCTGGCATCACCATTTCACTGGAGTCGACAGTCTCCGATTCATCAAGTCGAGGTCACAGTACCTTCAAAACATACAGCAGCATGGTCTTTGTAGTCTCATCGAGGACAGTCTTCCTGCCTTTGTTGCTTCTCTCAGTCGCTCGACACTTTGCGGACGCACACACATGGCTAGATTGCATTGACACGGATCGATCGAAATTGTACGACCAGAGCGCTTCGTATATTTTTGATGGTGCAGGCGGGAACGGATTTTGCGATGGCTACGGAGCAGGTTACCCCGGACGCGGTGACGGTAGCATTGGCACTGAATATACTCACAAGATGCTGAAAAACGAGGTCGAAGCTGGTATCCCAGTTTGCCAAGAGGTTGGTCCCAACACTTACTCGGATTGGCGTAAGCGACTTTCAGTTGCAGCGGGACAGACAGCGTACTTCGCGTATTTGCCTAATGGACACATCGTCAAGGACAAGAAGGGCGTTGGAACCCAGCACGGTGTCTACTGGACAGGCCAGGTCGGCACATCGCTCACATCGACACACGACATGACACAGGAGCACTTGATCGACGGAAAAACGATGGATTACGACGATGGAAATTGCGGCGAGACCGTCGACTACAATGGCGCTCCTAGTGGTCGTGCAGGGGACGGTAAACCCTGCATTGGTTCCTTTACCGTGCCGGCGGGCACGGCATCGGGAATCTACAAAATGGTGTGGTATTGGACGTTCTGGCTGGACAACCAGGGCGCGTATAAGGATCAAAACATGGCCAAGGGTTACTTTGGTGCGGCGTACTCGACTTGTTTCGAAGTTGAAGTGACCGGTGGTGAAGGCGGTAACAACGCTCAGAAGGCAGCTCCAGCTCCAGCTCCAGCTCCAGCTCCAGCTCCTGCTCCTGCGCTAGGGCCGAAACCACCTGCACCAGCCCCTGCACCAGCCCCCGCACCTGCCCCCGCACCTGCCCCAGCCCCAGCCTCTGCACCTGCACCAGCACCTGCACCAGCCTCTGCACCTGCACCAGCCCCTGCACCAGCCCCTGCACCAGCCCCTGCACCAGCCCCTGCACCTGCACCAATTGAAGCTCAAATTGGGGGAGAAGCAGCGCCGATGCCAGCAACTCCATCATGTACGCGGACAGTATCGGAGGGGGACGCAGCAGTCGGTATCAACATTGCCACCGATACGAGCTGTGGTTCCGGAGGACTGGGGTGCATAGACAACATCTGCAGGTACTGTAGAGTCTCGAACACGGAGAAATCCGCGCCGTTCGTTGAATGCGCCTCGATTGCAGCCTCGGCTGGGCCAGGAACGGTAGCGCCGGCTTGGAAGTAACCGGGAATGACGCAGATGGATTGAAGACCAAGACACAGTACAGTATCCGTGTTTGGCACGTGGCCCGTGGTATTCCGCCGGTCACCCCAAAGATGCATGTGTTAGAAGTGATGCGTACAGGAATAAAGGTACATGTCAGTCCCTGACATGTGTATCGGCATTGGTGCTCCATTAAATTATTTCGTGGTTGGATTGAAGAATCTCTCTACCAGACTACTGTACTTGTATTAAGGCTTCGCGGGTAGTAAAGCGTCCACAATAGCAAAGTTATTATTGTCTCGCTTGCAACACAAAAGTACTACTTTTTAATTTTGAAGCACAGTACAGAAAATCTGTCTTTTGTAACACGAGCTTGTCTATGAATATATCCTGTCGTACTTGATGCCATCAGCTCCACCAAGTCTGTTAGACAGAAAGATAATACATATTATCTAGCCCATAATACGAACAATGCCGAGCGAACGCGACCATTCATAATACGTATTATCTCCGCTTAATATGCGTTTTCTCAGAATACATGTAGCTGTTTTGGTAATCTGATGAAGGCATACTATGATTATGTGCTGAAGGGTCGCTCCTGTGTTGAAGCGTTGTAGCCTGCCCTTTCGGTATCGGTTTCCTGCTAGAGGTGCCTCTTGAATGTCCGTTACTGGGATCATTCACTCTCAGAACACTTCCATCAATCGAACACGCATCAACTGAACTGAAACTATCATATCCGACTCTCAGTATGCGTTTTACGATAATATGTATTATCGGCGAACACGGCCTAAGTTTGTGAAATATGAAAATAACTTGAAACTCAATAAACTGTATTAAAAATTGAGATCTTTATCGTCACAAGTCTAACATCAGCTTTTGTTTCTTGGATCGACCGTACTCCTCCCGCAGAATCGCCTCTACAGCAGAAATAATGACCGTCGGGCATCGACTTCGACATCGGCGTGTTAGGCTAAAACCATCATCACTACTTCAACAGCCTCAACATTATTTTTGCGTGTGATCGCTGACAGCACTGTGCTGCTATCTTTTGTGATGAAGAGAGAAAATGAGGAAGTGATATTGAAGGCATACATGACCGAGCAGCCCGTAGGCTTCGTAACCGCTGGGTCTGGGAGGTAAAACCCCTCTCCTGGGTCCAAACATCCTCCCAGTCCTGCTATCTTTGACTTCAACTGTCGACCAAATCTCAACACTCCCCCGTGGTCTACAGTGCCGTGACGGTGTTGACTGCTCCCACGTAATCGCAAAAGTCACGGTGAGTTACGAGGTTGTGTTGGCGCCCTCAGTAATCTTCGTGACCGGCCAGCAACCAGTTTTTCAGAAACTCCGTGCTCCGTCGTCATCACCTGCAGTCGGCCCATGGGCTACTCGCTTTGAGTCCTCCGCATGCCGGTTCTGGGCCTTGAGCCAGACCACGCCCAGCCCGTCCGAGAGCCCCGCGTGCCGTCGCTCGATCCGGAGCCAGACCACCAGCTCGTCCTAGAACCCCGTGTGCTGTCGCTCGAGCCAGGCCGTGTTAAACTCGTCAAAGAGCTCACACGCTGTTGCTTTCAAGCTTAGCCAGCCCATGCCCAGCTTGTCCAAAAAAGCCCCGCATGCTGTCGCTAGTTATCCTTACCGTCTCTTTTTCTCTTACCAAGGCTCGTAGACTTTACCTCGGGATGCGTCTCACGAACACCGAGACGGCCACATAAGGTTTGAAGTACATCTGTAGTCACATCTTTTGTTAGTAAGTCTGCCACATTTTCTTTAGTGTTTACGTATTCAATCTCCAAGTCTTTCAGTGCAATGCGTTCGCGGACAAACTGATATCTTGTGTCAATGTGCTTGGTACGCTGGTGGTGAATGGGATTCAAGGCCATGGCGATAGCTGACAGGTTATCAACAAATACCACCGTGGTGTTTTGCGGCATGTTCAACTCACCCAGTAGTTCTCGTAAGAATATCACCTCTTTAGCTCCGTGTACCAGTGCCATATACTCGGCTTCGATAGACGACAACGCCACAGTCCGTTGGCCTTTGCACGAGTACGTAATTGCACAATTCCCTACTTGCATAACGTATCCAGATACCGATCTCCGCGTGTCGGTGTCTTTTGCATAATCGGGGTCAACGTACGCTGTTAGCTGCAGGCCATTATGATGTCTTCCATCAATGACAAGTCCGTATCCCATGGTGCCTTTCACGTAGCGTAGTATTCGCTTTGCTGCATTCCAGTGCGGAATACCTGGACCATTCAAGTACTTGCTCACACACTGAATTCCGAACGCAATATCGGGTCTGCTACCCGTCATCAAATACATCAATGAACCCACGAGTCCTCGGTAGTCTTTGGCTTTCATTTGTTCACGCTCGTCATCATTCTTAGGACTGTCCTCTTTTGAGAGTAGTACCTGGGTCACAGTGAGTTTTGCACGGATTCATCTGTGTCAGGTTAAACCGCTCAATCACACTCTTGGCGTAGGAAGTTTGATCGATGCTGAGTGTCTTCGACGATCGATCTCGCTGCACGCGTAGCCCCAGGATGTGATGCACTTCACCCATGTCTTTGCATTTAAACGCTTCTGCTAACATGATTTTAATGGCTTCTATTCCACTTGTCGTGTCTGCTATCAAGAGTAAATCGTCCACGTAAATGCCAATGATGGATAAGGCATGGTCGCCTGTACGCACGTAAATGCATGCATCACTATTGAGTTTCACATAGCCTTTTGTCTTTAGAAAGTCCGTTAACTTTTTGTGCCACGCTCGCGGTGCTTGCTTTAGACCATAAAGTGACTTTGTCAGTAGACACACGAGGTTCTCTTTTCCTTTGACCACAAGGCCTTCGGGCTGTAACATGTAAACTTCTTCAGTCATTTCACCGTTTAGAAATGCGGTATCCACGTCTGTCTGATGACATTCCCAGTCGTTGATTGCCACTAACGCGAGTAGCATGCGAAGAGATTTCAGTCTAATTACAGGAGCAAATATTTCGTCATAGTCTACATATTTTACTTCCTCATATCCACGAATGACCAGTCTTGCTTTGTAGCGTTCGACATTGCCTTAAAAGTCGTACTTGATCTTAAATATCCATTTCGAAGTAAGCGCACGTTATCCTTTTGGTAGCGTTACCAGCTTCCATGTGTCGTGAGCTATGAGTGATCTACCTTCTTTATCAATCGCCTTCCGCCAGTGCAGTGATTCGCTGCAAGTCATTGCTTCATTGTATGACTTCGGCTCAGCACTAGTAGCCATGCAGTTGATCTTGCTGTTTTCATTCTTGTTAGCTATATTTTCGGTTGCCACCATCAGTTCTGCCTACTTCTGCTTCTCAGAGAGTCGATCGGCAGCGCACATGGTAAGCACTTGTGGTTCAGATCCAGCAGTAGGGAGCTCAAGTATAGAGATTTTATTGTTGACCTGTTGGCCCACGTAGCTGCTCACACCCGGTAGATTTCCCTGCTCGTCACGCAGCTCATCTACATTAAAATCGTCAAGAAAGAAGTCAAGTTGTTGAATCTCTTTGTCATAGCTGTTCAGCTCCTCGATAGGTTCTGCGTAGAAGACTAAGTCTGGAATCGACTGGGCCAATTTCGAGGGTTGAATGAGATCGAGATGATGCAGCTTTTTTAGTCTGTCTAATTCCAGTCGCTTTAGTTCCATTGCAGCGTAGGAGTAAGATTCATCAAACGTAGCATGACAGGTAGTTACGACTGTAGTAGTACCGCAATGCAATACACGCCACGCTTTTCGGTTGTCTGCATACCCGACAAAAATCCCTCGAACACTGCGATTATGGAGAGTCTTCCGTGTACCCGGTGTTGCTGTCAGTTCCAGTCGCTTAGGATGGGTTGCCGATACGTACGTGTAAGCTAGAGATCCAAATACACGCAAGTTGCTGTAATCAGGTTCTCGTAGGTGCCAGCGCTCATACGGCGTGACTTCCGCTCGTCTAAGAGGACTAATGTTGCCAAGTAGTGCTGCTGTCAGGAGTGCTTCACCCCAAAATTGCTTTGGTAGCTGTGAATCGATCAGTAGAGCTCGAACTTTTCGAAAAAGAACACGAAATCGCACTTCGGCACTACCATTTTGCTCTGGGGTATATGGTGTTGTTGTTTGTCGTGCAATACCTTTGACTTCACAAAATTTTACCCACTCAGGAGAAGTAAACTCGCCACCATTGTCTGAGTTCACCGCTTACACTGGACAGTTGTGTTTTGTTTCAGCAGATATCACATATTGCTTAAAATGACGAAGAGCTTCTGCCTTGGTCTCAAGGAGATACGTCGTCACAAACCCAGAAAAATCATCAACAAATAAGAGAACGTATCGTTTGTTTCCAAATGTTGAGACTTCAATCGGTCTTTTAATGTCTGTGTACACCAGCTCATTTGGTGAAGTTGCATGCTTTGTGTAGGTTGACTTAAACGACGCTCGTTGTTGGTTTGAACGTTCGCAGACGTCACAAACAGGAAATTTAACTAAGTCTCGTTCTGCCAC